AAAACAAGCCCTGCTGTCTGTCTGTACCCAAGCCCTTCCACCAGGAGAGCTAGTCTAGGTGTGAGATCTCACGCTGTCTTTGTAGCCATCTAAAAATAATAATAATAATAATAAACTGGGCAGTTTACAATCGGTTTCTTTCAAAAGGCCTTTTGTGGAAAGAAAAAAAGAAGTCACCCTTTTCTGCTTGGGGTTTTCGGTTTGTGTGGGTGGGCAAAGGAGGAGCGGGGCCTGTTTGTTTTTGCTTGGTTTCTCCTGGCGGAGGTGGCGACAGCAGCTGCACAACTTGGACCCCAGAATCCCGCCCCCACCCCCACCCCCCATTATGTGGCTGGAGGGGCCAGACCACCTGACCGATTTCAGGACTCCGCCATGGTGGAGACTCGCTGTGACCCGGTGGCATGCACTGTGTTCCCAGGACTGCTTCCTCCTCTCACCCCTGGACCTCCCCCCGCCACCCCTCCAGCCCCATCCTCAGCCCCCACCCCAGTCTTCCCAGCGAGAATCCTGCCAGCTGGGTGATGGCCTGGAGCAGAGTGCGGGAGGCCACCCCCGACAGGATGGCTATGACCTGGGACATGGAAACTGTGACCTCTGCGTCCTCATCCCCGTGGCCCTCGCATCGTCCTCATCCTGTATGTGGGCAGTGTAGGGCTGGAGTTTGGGTTTTCTTTTATTTTTGTCTCTTGATTCTTCCTCCTTTTTCAAAGATGGAACATTGACCAGAATTGCTCTGCATATGCTTGGAACTGGATGGAAAGACTTTGGAATAGTTATGGGGGTGGGGGAAGACACAAACCACCGAACAGACATGCTGTTTCTGGTCCTGTTTTTATTTTCAAAAACTGACACACGTGACAGTGGAGCCTGTCCCCTCCCAGGAGGAGTGACTCATGGCCTCCCTCACCTCAGCACCCCCCATGGAAACCTCTGTGTCTTGCCCTGGAGACACCCGAATTCTTTGTACATTTACTCCCTCCTCCTCCCCCGTAGCTGTCTTTGTTTCTCCCCCTTTCTGATCCATGTATATCATATTATGTGAGATATCATCTGCCTGAAAAAAGACCTTGTGCGGATTATTGGGAACATTGTAGCTGTTTCTGTGTTTTTTCTTACCTTGTAGTCTGGTTCTGAATTAAGAGAGGAAAAAAAAGTAATTATGATACATTGTAGTTTGTGTACGATATATGTTGATAACGTTTTATTAAAGGGACATCTTTTTTCCGCAGCCCTTCCTGACATGTTTGGGGGGAACGTGGGTCGGAGGTTATTACACTGATTATAAAACGCAAGGCGACCCGTCGGCCGCAGAGTTTTTGTTCCCAGTGCATAACAAGATCTTGTTTTGTGTTCAAGGCATCTGCCTTCTTTTCCTGGGTGTGTGAATTCTGTATTTTCTGTGGAGAGTCGCAGTGGCCTTTGGGGATGGCGGGTTAAGAGGGAGGACGTCAGTCTCACTTCAAGTATTTGGGGACATTATAAAAGCCAGTTTCAGTTTCCTGTCTTACAAACACATTTTGGTTTGCCAGAAAGTCTTTCTGGAAGGAGAAGGAGGTTCCTAGTGGCCTGTGTTTTTGATTGAGAGGATCACTGAGAACGGCCCTGTGAGCTGCAGCCACACCCTGCATTCTCCCTATGGTTGGAATTGCCGAGGGTGCTGGACCCCTGGGGAAGTTGTTTTTTTTCTTTCCTTTCCTTTCCCTTTCCCTTTCCCTTTCCTTTCCACCTTCAAGGCAATAGGGAACCCTTGAAGGGTTTACAGAGTAACACATTCTGAGTAAATTTTAGAAAACCCAGTGGAAGCAGCATCCTGAAAGATGGCTGGGCAGGCTGGACAGACATGAGACACCCAGCTGCAGCTGTCACCTAGGCAAGAAATACCGAGAGCTGAGGTGAAGAAAGCAGTGGTGGATACCCATTTGAACATCTAGAAAGAACTTCCTGTTTTTCGGACCTCTGGGGACCTCATTCCAGGCCCATAGCAGGAGAGGGGAGGGACACGTGGTTTTCTGAGTGAAGTGTGGGCTCAGTCCACCTTTACAAGGTTTGAGGGAACCAGACGGCAAATCGCTAGTTTCAGATCCTGCCTTTGCCACTACTTTGTGGTTGTGGACAAGTTTCTCTGTGCTCAGTTTCCTCATCTATAAAATGGGGATGATGGTTTGCCTACCTCGTGGGGTTGGCGTGAGGGCAAGTTACCATCTAGTGTTCAGAACAGTGCCTCGCATGTAGTGAGCCGTAGTGTTGGCTGTGAGTGGTACTGTCACTCATTTGGGAAGAGTCCAAATGAGTGTGATGGGGAGTAGCTGGAAGGGTCTAGAAGATTCCCTTTTGTCCCTTCCCCCCTCATCTTAGAACAGGGTTTCCCAGGCTCATCCTCATAACGGCTACCTTTGGACAGCTGGGGAAACATCACTGTTGGACAGGTGAGGAGACTCAGGCTGTGGCCGACCTGTTCTCACAGCTCTAAAGAGGCATTTGTGCCACATGCCAATCCAGTCCTGGGCAAAGAAGGTAGAGGTGATGGGTGAACATCCTTCAATACCGTTGCTGCCATCTGTGCTCCCCAGAGCAGGACTTGGGACAGGAGCAATGGCATGGGGGTGCTGAGCTGCAAGGGAACAGGCAATGGGAGACGGGGGAGAGGAAAGGGTCCAGCCTGATATTTCACTGCCCACCTCTGCTTGGGGATTGAGAACACGGAGCTCCCTTCCACACCACTCCCCACCAACCCCCATAATTGCTTTTGCAACACAGCCCTGGTGAGGGCTGGTCCAGGCTTGGCCTTCTCACCAAGGGCAGATCTTTGAGGAGAGGACTGGTTCCTTCCCCCCAAATGTTTTCACTGCCCTGCCCTGCCCTGCCCTGCCCTGCCTGGGCACTGCCACCAGGATAAGGATCCCTGAGTGAGAAGCAGGAGAGGGAATGTCATTCCTGTCCTTCCACAGAGGACGACATTAGCGCAGCCCTGAAACTTGGACAGGATCGAGGAGCCAGGCCGAAGTCCCAAGCTCAGCAGCTGCTTGCCTGCTAGAGTCATCATGGTCCACAAGGGTCCACTTCAAGGGGACACCCAGCCTAGGGACCAGAGTGAGGGCTGGGCCCACGTCAGAGAAAGCTGGCCTGGCTGGAGACCCGCACCTTCTCCCTCCGGCCTGGGCACCCCTCTCTGGAGCCAGGAAAGAAGAACCTCGAAGCAAACCAGCTGACGGCCTATGACGGGGAGGGGTTCAGTAGCTGCCAAGGCACAGAGCCAGACCAGGACTCTAACTCGGATGCAGCCGGGGCTGCTACTGTTCAGCCTGATGCCTTGGGTGACCCCGAGGGACCTCTCTCCACACAACACCCCTGGCCTCTGCTGTCCCATGAGGATCCCACAGGCTCCAAGGGGCTGAGCCCAGAGCACATCTTGGGCTACAATGAGGGTTCTGCTCTGAATTGAGCTGGGCCTCCCCTGGGCTGGGGTAGAACTGGCCAGGGGAGGAGAAGGGGTGAAAGGCAGACGTGTCCTACTCTGCCCTGGACTCACTGGATGTGGGCACTAGGGTACTGGAAACAAAGGACCACATCAAGGGGTGGGGTGGATGCTAGAAGTTATAGAGGGTCCGTTCTATCCGGCACTGGTGTTTTGTCCATTCTCAGGTGCCTTTGGCATCTGTCACCTGGACATTCAGCCAGCCACCTCTTTGGTTTCCTCTGCCCTTCCGATGCCACCAAGATCAAACTTCTGAACATCCTTACACTCTTCCACCCATCCACCCATCCATTCATTCACGTATTCATTGAGCACCTCATGTGCCAGGGGCAGGCTGCAGGATGAGCAGGCTGAAGTGATGCTCCATTTTGGCAAGTTAAAGTTGAGATGCTTATGCCCTAGATAGCCACGTAAAGAGAACTGAAGACGCGCTGGGATTTGTATGGTCTTGAAAGCCACGAGCCCGGCTGAGATCATCTGGAGAGCCAAGGACTCTCGGCAGTAAGAGATGCGGGAAATAGGAACCAGCGAAGGAGGCAGCGAAGTGAGTAGGAGAACAAGGTGCCCTGGAGACCAAGCGGAGAAAACTGCGGAGAGTGTCAGAGAGCCACATGCGGCTGAGGGGCCCGGCACTGCAGGCCCGCCATGCCGGGGACACGGTCCACACTCACCGATTCATTTGGATCCTGCATGGCGAGGTCCTGCCATTCCCTGCTGCTTTTTCTTGCCCCTCAGCACTTCATGATGCAGCCATGTGGAACAACGTAAGGACTGTTGCCCACCGGGGGCCTTGGTTCTTGCTGTTCCTCCTTGGCATGCCTTTCCTGCTTGCCCTTTAGAATCAAACGGCTCCTCTGTCAGGAAGCTTTCTCTGAGCCTCCATGGCCCCTATGCTGTAATGGTTCAACGTCTGCTTTCTCCCATCAGGCTGGGAGCTCCTTGAAGCTAGGGATCATGCCCACTGCATGCTGTCACCTGAGGGCAGGTACTCAAGTATGAGGAAAGAGGTGACCTTTACGGCTGCCTGCTTCTGCAGATCCAAAGAAGACTGACTACTGTGAGTGTCCATCACACAACTGGGAACTCTCGAGGGCAAGGACCATGTCTCTCATTCTATATCTCTGACTCCTAGCACAAGGCCTGGCACGCAGTAGGTACTTATAAAATGGGGTAACTGCTGCTAGAGATCTATAGTGGGAAACCTCAGGGCTCAGTCCCCAGTCTTGACCTATTCTTGGGTTCCATCACGGCCCAGCTGGGCATGAGAGACCCACAAGGGGGGTGTGTGTGTGTTGAGGGAGGGTGACAAAGCTGGGAGGGGCCATGCTGCTCTTGACAGCTGGACAATTGCCATGGGCGGCAAGCCCACACCTTGGATGTAGGCTTTGGGTGTGGGGAGATGTAGCTTGGGATGTCTGACATGGGCTTGACTGAAGATCTCTGGTGGCAATAATCGAAGCAGAATGTCCAAAACAAGGGAGAGACTGGCCTCACTCTACCCTGCCATACTCAGCCCTGCTGAAGAATTGGGTCCCTGGTCCCTGCTCTGTGATAACAGTCTGGAGTAGGAATTTGCTGTGAGCCATAGATTGAGAAGTGGGTTAGAAGTTCAGTGGGAGACAGACACTGGGCTATTTGGCTTTGAGGCATTTAATTTCCAGCCTCAAATTTCTACAAGGCTATCTCCTAACTGAGAGGAAACATGGGGTGTGGGGCCCCAGACAGCAGAGCTGGGACTTTTGAGTTGAATCTACGAGATGAATGACATTCTTCCCAACCTGAGAACACTTAGCAGCCAGAGTTGCTAACGAATGAAAGAGGCTACACTGAGAGCATGTTCCCCACACTGGATTG